TTTATTTAAGCATTTAAATAATAAATATTGTTTTTTCTCCCTCTGTGTTCCTTCTGAACACTGATTCTCAGTATGTGTAACACAGAACTTTCAAGAGACGTGTTAAAAGTTTACAGACTTTCTACCAAGATTTTTTATGGAACAAAGAAAGAGAAATATTTTAGAAGACGTTTTATTTGAATTATAGGATAGGAGGAAGAGGTGTTCTTAACTTAATAAGGAACTTAATCATATATGCCCTGTCGTGTTATAGACTCTTTATTTTCAATTTGCTTTAGGGTGGAAAGAAAGGAACGTGCCCGATTGAAGACAGTGAAGTTTAATGCCAAACCTGGAGTGATTGATTCAAAAGGGGTAGGTACAAAATGATGGAAACATCAAGTTCTCTTGGTTGCCATGGCTTTAGCTATAATTAACATTTAGGTTTCAGCAGCAGACAAATTATGTAGCTACCAGACAGCAGAGCACTGTTATAAATATAATAATGTCATTTCTGATTAAATGAATTTATAGTAAATATATTCAATACTGGGAATAAAGCTGCTAGTGGGCCGCAGAAACAATGTTTTGATGAAGGTAAGGTAAAGATTACAATGGAGAAGAAAAAAGACATTTTAGGTGTTTTGTTTCTTTAATTTTTTCTTTTAAATTAATCTTCTAAAAAAGATGGATTTCATAAAAGGCATCTGCGCATCAAAAAATATATCTAATCTGTTACACATCATAAAGCTAAGACAGTGCTCATGGAAATATACACATGGATCATGAAAGTGAATACATGGATTGTTGTGACAGACATAGAAAAGGAGAGAATTAATATATAAAATTTAATCACCAAAATTAAAATATTCACTCACATATGCACATGTACATCTTTTTAAATGACAGCTTTATGAGATAAAATTCACATAAAGTATACAATACAGTGTGGTTTTTAGTATATTTAGAGATGTGCAACTACTACTGCAGTCAATTTTAGAACATTTCATCACTCTGTGAAGAAATCCTGTGTCCAGTGACTGCTGTCCCTCCCACTTTCCCATCCTCCCGCCCCAACCCAGCCACAGGCAACCACTAATCTACTTTCTGTCTCTATTGATTTGCCTATTCTGGATATTTCATGTAAATGGAATCATACACTATTTGGTTTTTGTGACTGCTTTTTTCATGTACATAATGTTTTCCAGATGCGTCTATTTGTACCATGTAAAAATACTTCCTTTTTATTTTATTTTATTTTTTTATTGCCAAATAATATTTCATCATGTGGATAATACCACATTTAATTTATTCATTCATGGATGGACATTTGAGTTGTTTCCAGTTTTAAGTTATTATGGATAACATTACTGTGAACATTTGTGTGCAAATTTTTATGTGGACATGTGTTTTTATTTCCATTGAGTATATACCTAGGAGTGGAATTGCTGGGTCATATAACTCTATGCTTAACATTCTGAGGAGCTGCCAGGCTGTTTTCCAAAGTGGTTGCACCATTTTACATTTCCACAGCAGTGTATGATGTCAATTTCTCCACATCCTCACCAATACTTATTATTATATATCTTTCTGATTATAGCCATTTTAGTTGGTATGAAGTAGTATCTCATTACGGTTTTGACTTTCATTTCTCTAATGACTATTAATACTGAACATTTTTTTCATGTGCTTATTGGACATTTGTGTATCTTATTTGGAGAAATGTCTATTCAGTTCCTTTGCCAATTTTGAATTGGTTGTTTTGTTATTGTTGAACTGCAGAAGTTCTTTATATATTCAGGTTATTCATCCCTTGTCAGATATATGCTTTAAAATATTTTCTCCCATTTCATGGTTGTCTTTTTACTCTCTTGATAGTACCCTTTGATACACAAAAGTTTTTAATTTTGGTTAAGCCTGATTTATACATTTTTTCTTTTGTTACTTTTTTTTTTTTTGGTGTTATATCTAAGAAACAATTGCCTAATCCAAAGTCATGAAGATTTGCGTCATATTTTCTTCTAAGAGTTTTATAGTTATAGCTCCTACATTTAGGTGTTTGATTCATTTTGAGTTAGTTTTTGTATATGGTATAAGGTAGTGTTCCAACTTCATTCTTTGGCATGTGAATTGTCTTCTTGATTTCATTTTTGGGTTATTCATTGCAAATGTATAGCAATACAATTATTTTTATATCAATCTTATATTCCTGCAACCTTGCTGAACCCATAGTTTTTTAGTGAATTTCTCAAAGTTTTCTCATACAGGTTCATGACATGCAAAAAGAGAGAGTTTTACTCCCCTCCCCGCACCCCTGCAATGTGGATAACTTTTATTTCTTTTTCATGCCGGATTGCTCCGGCCAGAACCTCCAGTACAATGTTGGGTAGAAATGGCAAGAGCAGCCATCCTTGTCTTGCTCCTGACCTTAAGTATGTATGATGTTAGCTATACATGCATAGCTTTTAAATCTATTTTTGAAGGGGTAACACTAGTATCTTACTGCTGTGTTATAAAATAACTTACCCCATCTTCTCTCTTCATATTCTCTTTCTCTTCATATTCTTTTCTTTCACTTTCTGTCCTAACAATTGTGGCTAATGAGCACCACATAGACTCACGAGTGATGGTCAATAGATGTCACCATGAAAAACGAGAAGAAAAGCTGTCATTTCTCAGGGCTTTTGAGGCCCAAACCACAGCACTGCCTGTGTAATTTTTAAGTAAAAGTATCACTGGGCAACATAGTCATTGACATAATAATTTATTTTCCCCTAAAACATTCAAGTGAAATGAAAACTTATTTCAACATATGGTGTCATTCTAAAAAAAATGTGAGGGTATGTGACATCATAACACAAAGTCCTCTCAAACAAATACTACTGATATATGAGAAGGGTAGGATTTTTTTGGTGATCTTGGTGAGAATTTAAGGATAGATCTCCTGTTTGTTTTATATATATAGTTGGATATACATGAGAATTTTTCCTGATATGTACCATGTGCCAGACATAGGGCTAGAGCTGTGAAGGATACAAAGTGTAACATAGGCCCTTCTGCCCAAGAGCTTCTAACATCAATGAGAGGCCACATATTTTGCCAAAATGTATGTGGTATACATTTTGATCATATATGTTAAATACCATTAAGTATTTTGCTATGAATAGAACATAAATTCTAGGACTTGGCTATGGAAGGAGAGGGGTACTCACGTGGAAAGGGAAGCCCTGAAATGAAAATCAAGAGGGTCACTAATTTGGGTTCTGGTTTCAGTTCATGACCAAGTCACCATTGCTCATTGGGCCTTATTAACAAAATAAAAGCTTTAAACAATATCAGAGATGTCAAAAAAGTTTCATCTCCTCTGTAAACTGATGATGGAGTGGTTTTTAACTGGAGTAATATTTTGAAAAGGATTCTGAGGCCATATAGGATCTCAGAAGAAAAAAAGAAAAGTGCCACAATTAAGTCATCTCTAGCTCGACATTGGGAATTGTTCTCTCTTCATAATCCCTGCTCTGTTTTCATTGGTTTTTAAGGTGGCTTCCATCAGTAATTCTTCATAATATGTACCCATGCATTAATTGGTAATAAACCAAAGTTTACCAAATCTTCATGGAGAAATACATCAGTGGAAAATTTGTCCAGAAGCAGAAAGCAAAGACAGTTAAGAAACGAGAAAATGCACTGCAGAAAGGAGAGACCAACCACATGGAGAGTTAGGAAAGCTGGGTCAGAAGATGCTGCTCACTTTGAGCCAAGGGCAAGGACTGCAGAAACAAGTCACTGTTGCAGAGACCTCCATGTCTGAGACCTTGTGGCAAATTCAGCATAAAACAAGGAGGAAAATTGTCTGAAATGAGAACAAAATGGGGTGTTTTAAATAACCCTTTCATTAGCTAGCATTTACAGAGAACTGTGAAACATCCTAAGGAGTTCAGAGTGAAAGCCAAGGTTACTGCCCTGGAGGAGCTTAGAATCAATTAGTATCTGTGAAGGCAGGTGGTGACAAGAGCCTTATTAGTAGTATGTATAAAAGCTGTAAGAATAAAATTCACAGTCATGAAAATGACCAGAGAGCACTTTATAGAAGAGCTTGGACTTTAATTGGCTTATCAGTACTTGAGTTACTTTTCCAGAACTATCCATCAATTAAAATAACATTGATTGCTGCAAAGCACTAGGCACTGTGCTAGGTGCCTTGTGATGCAACAAAAAAATTAAAAAGATAAGATTTCTCATTTCAATGAGCTCACAAAGAGAAATAGAGGCAGGCAAACTGCCAATACAACCTCACTGATGATCTCCATAAATATAGGGAATCAACAGTCTTCATTTGAAAAATCAGGAGACGAAGCATCGGGAAGAATAACTTGCCTACGAGCACACTGTTAGTAGATGTGAGCATCAGGTTTAAATTGAGATGATTTTGACAGCAGAATGTCTGCCCTTTGCTGACACCCTACACCTGGTTCTGTTGGAGCCCAGAGGAAGGAGAGTGACACTAATTATGCCTTAGGTGAGAGAGAAGGCTCCAAAGAGGTGACATTTGAATAAGATCTTGAAGTGTGACTAGGGGTTGGTTGCACACATAGGAAAATGCATGAACATGATCATGGAAATTGCAGGCATGTTGGAATATGGACAAGTGAGTCAAGGACACCAGAGCATGGAGGTCGTGGGGGAACCCTGTAGCAAACAGGGCAGACAAAGACGGTCAGAAAGCTTATACGGAAGGCCTGGCTGTGAGGTTTGGAGCTTACTGGATTTTGAGAGTACACATGAGGAGACATGAGGCTCTCATTTTGAAAGTGCCGATTTGCTACAAATGAAATGCTCGGGCTTCCTATCCATTCTGCGTGTCTACACGTGCAAAGACAAGAGGACTATTGTGTCAGTAGCCTGGATAATTCCAACTTACCCAGACCCTTAAGCTCCAAACAGCCATCTACTAATATATGGATGAGTCTCCTTGAGACCCATCTCAGTTGTCCAGATCTCAATGCAGCCAAGCTCTTCTGGGAATGTCCATTAAGTTCCTAATGAGTCTCTATTCAAACCAGACTCTGGTAAAAACCTAATCACCCCTTAATTTCATTTATTGTCTTTCTTTTTTTCATCAATTTCATCATTAACTAGCTATTCCATTATTTATTGAGAGGTTCAGGAAATTGTATAATCTTCAGAATCAAGCTGTTCTACATCGAAAATCAATGACTGTTTAGTGATTTGTGCTAAACTTTGTTCTTTTTGTTTTTAAGTCCCTATAATTTGAGAAAGGGAAATATATGTAGGAGAGGATGTGACAGAGCTATCAATATCCTTACTGTCTGTCAGCACTGTATAAGTGTCCCCTTTACATTGTAAATCCTTTC